TGTGTTAAAAATTAGGTTTGATACACAAGCATGCATATAAATTCATTTAAATTATCATACTGATACTTTGCTACATTTCTAAGTTGAGGATTCATGTTTGTATGTATTTGGAAATGATTAGTTTTCTTGGGGTGTTGAAGTATGTGATATTCTCCTTTCAATGCTTGCATATTGTTTCCATTGTGCATTGTGGATTTGACACATTATTACACTTAATACAAATGGAAATTGGAGAAGATGGCTAGAAATATAGTATAGTTATGGAAATGGCTAGCTCCAAATTCTAGCGAAGAACGGCTAGCGGTGTTCTTGGAGGGCTCTAAATTGCTCGTTTTGGTTTGAATATATTGATGTGGTCGACTCCATTATTTTTTACTCTTATTTTCTCAATTTTTGAGATTGAGAATCCGAGTTGAAGAGTTGTCAGACATCACGGTAGTATGCGATAGAAACTAAGATGATAACAAGTAGTATCATGACCTCAAGATGATCGGTGAATAAGTTTTACCCGACTTGAATCGAAAATAGTTCATTGAGTATATTAGGAACAAGCTTGTTCTACTTTGTACGGTAACTACATTGTCTCTCGATTGATTATGCATAGGAACGAGGCAAATTAATCCAACATAAATAGAATTACTCTAAATTGTAATCCACCCAAAAATTTATAACATGAAACTTCATTCTTCTTCAACATGACATGAATTGAAATATCTTTTGATAATTTCACCAGTATTTTTTTCACATCTTCTCAAATAATATTAAACTTAAATTTTTAAAAATTAGAAAAAAAAAAATAATCAAATGCCTACTAAAGACGTGTCAAAATTAAAATAGACACTTTTATAGGACTCTAATTGCAAAGTTGGTGGAATATTTTCCTCCACAAGTAAATAATATAATAATAAACTAGTGGGTGACGAAGGGTCAAAGTTTGACAACCTGTGTCACAATTCATAATATATTAAACTTCGAGGACCAGAAATAAATAAATAAATAAATTAATTAATTAATAAATAAAGCTGGTAGATCTCAGCCGCACAAATATATTCTCTTGCTTTCCCAATGATTGGCCTTATGCCTTTTTAACCTAACATGCACATATATCATTGCACATGCCTTCCAATATTCCTCCTTTGAATTTTATGAATAAAGACACTCCTACCACCTACTCCTTCCACATTTTAATACTCGACTCGTATCATAGGGGAGCCTCACCCGTCACTCTATAAATTTCTGCAATCCCGTCCATATTCAAAACTTAGAAACTCGTCCCTCGTCAGCCCGAACATAGCATACATATTTGACCTAACAGTTCAGAAGCTCGAATCCCTGATCTATAGTACCGAGCAAATGGGTCTTTTGGAGACTGCTGGCATTGGAGGACGTCGGTGGAATCAGTATGAGAAGCTACACTGTGAAGGTAATGACGTGGTTAAGTGTAGACGTCGATGGATGAAGAAAACACTGAAGAGAGGCAAGAAGGGTTTTCGATTGTATCGGCTTACAAAGTCGAGGAGTTTTAGTTTGAAGGTATCGTTTTTGGTCTTGTTGTCGAGAAGAATCAGGGAGATTGTGAATAGAATGAAGATTGAAGATGTATGTGCTAACGTCATCTTCTTCACTCAATGGGGACTTCCTACTTTGTCTTATAATTCCTCGAGTTTGTTGCTTTGATTTATGTTCGTATTAATGGCGTGTATGTAATTCTTTTATTTTAGCAACTTTTTTTATTCACCATTTTCGAAGTATTAATTCTTAACGAGCCATATATATATATATATATATATATATTAATTATTTAAACAGATTAAAATATTGCTTTTAACTCGAGAATTATGAGATACGTTTTATTTGTGCATTAATTAAATTTAATTTCATGAAATACATTTTTTTTTGTTTTTTTTAAATTATTAGGTTTTCTAAAAGAATTTAAATTTAATGGAAATTAAAATTTTTTTAATTAAATATTTGGTTTATTCTATTTTAATTAGAAAAGATTTAAAATGTAATTTTAAAAATAAATATTTTAGTTTTTAATTTTTAATATATATATTTTAGTGTTTTTAAAATTATTATAATCATTATTATATTTTCATTAATATTTGTCTTATTTAACTTATGAGACTCGAATACATTCTCGAGTCAACGTCGATCTAAATGGTAAAATGATAGTTGTTGAATAATAAATTTAAATTAACGATGCAATATAAATGCTTATTTAAAATTGATCCTAGGACGCAAGCTAGTCCAATTAAATTAGACGTCACGGTGGTTAGATTCAAATTAATTTAGTCCAAATTCATTATGGAAGGACTGAGTTGATGTCGGGAAGGAAAGAATGGGTTAATCTCGAATTAGCTCAAGCCTAAAAGTCGGACCCAAAATTAACAACATCATCAAAATTATATAAACAGAGAAGTCACTCGTAGGGCGGGGTTTTTCATGCCTTGGTTCCTGTCCCCGCCTCCAAAGTCTTCATCTTTGTGGAATTCTTCTTTTATTTTTGTAGGAATCGAAGCATAAATTCTTCACAGAGAATTCAAGACGGATCGAGTTCACTACAAGGAATTTTTTTTCCGTCTTTTTATATTTTTTTAAAAAATATATTAATCTCAAAGAAGTATTTTAATAGATAATTTCTATTAAAAAAGTGAGCGGGTTCCCGTGCATGGTCCCGTCCAGATTTTTTTTTTTTTTTTTTTTTT